CAGAAGGAGTCTGAAGATGTATTAATATATGAAAGTACTTAAGTACTTTTCCTCCGCGGTCTGACACTGTCACATTTTTAATCACGTGTTTATTTTTTGTGATTTACACATATACATACAGTAATATGTAAATTTCAATAATATAAATCATACTTGACAAACCGAGATAGGATGAATATTTTCTACCTACACCATCTGTGAAACCCAGGTAATTACCAGGTTTGTAACATACCTTCTTCTTCCAGAAAAATAAATGAAATTAATTGAAGATTAATTGCATTTCTGCAGGAAGCTCCTTCAGCTCCCTGGAGCTATCGGGCTAATATGTGATATATTAGACCGGGGCATTAGTCTATGAAGTTTGACCTACTGGGGACCAAGAGCCAGAACCTGCCCCCCCCCCCCTCAGAGAGATTGCAGGGAGCAGTGGCCCTGGAAAACCCTCCTGTGGTTGGGGTTTTCCTTATCTGCCATCAACCAGGTTAGGCAACCAGAAAGGTAGGCATAACAAAACAAACCCCACATGGTAAGAAAATTACAAGTAAAAACCAAAAAGAGATGCAGAACGTCCTCCAGTCCCAAGTAAACAATCAAACGTCACACTCCACTGCTGCACCGCTCTACCGCGCCGCCCTTCCCTCCCTGCGCCAGCTACCCAGCACTTTAGTTCATTCGGTAATGTGGTCCGGGGCGGATATCTTCTCTGGCCTCGATTTCCAAGGCAGTGTTTTGCCTTCGTGATGACCTCTGCAGTGTTGTTGTGGGTGGTGGCCAGGTGTCCTCATCAGTGCTGGGGCTGCATGCGCTTAGGGGCATCCTTCCCTAGGCGCCCTGTGAGTATTGCCCTTGCGTGTTAGGGTTCCCTTCCCTGGTGTGTTCGGGAAACCATTTCTGTAGAGGTTTTTACTGCTCGGCATTTACCCAGCCCTTGGGGCCAGCTGGGGTTTCATGGCCCTTGTTTAGCTTGGGTAGGGAGTGGTATTGTGCTGGTTGGGGCGTCAAGGTGTTGTGCAGCCTGCCTACCTACGCAGCAGCCGTTTCCTGTTTCCTCTGGGGACGTTGTACTTTTGCGGGGGTTTCTTTTTGTTTTGGTTTTCTTGCCTGGTGTGGCTATCATTCCACTTACAATATTTTGGTGGCCCTCTGCTACCAAAATAAATTTTGATATGTACCATGAAACCCCTGCGTGCACATCGCAGGGGTTTCAGTGTTTTGAACACCCCCTTGTTAACTTTGGGTCTTAACCGGTTAGCAACACCTAACCCGGGCTTCACATATCAATCAGCCTGCGGGCCCTGGAAAACCCTGTCGGGACTCGATGGACCTATGACTGCATCTTTCAAGTTCCAGCCCACCTCGTACAGGTTCGAAAGTTGCTGTGTGCCCTTGTTTTAGGGGTTACAGTCACCTCTTTTGTCTCTGTCATGCTGCCTGTTGGGTCAACAACACCTTTGACCCAGAGTCTTGTGAGTTGTTTTCTCTTCTTGTTCTCCAGTACTTTTCTGGTTACATTACTGTTAGGGTACAGGCAGCATCCACATTGCATGCTAGGTTTAGGTTACTACAACGTACTAGGTTGGTTTTCCACCCAGATACCCTGCGGCTGCCCTGCTTTGGTTATAGGGACCCAGACCTGGAGGCGTTAGTTGCTTCGACTTTGGTTGTATCCGCGCTCCCTGGTCCTTCCCCTGTTGTTCATCCTGCGCCTCTTCCCCCAACTTCCGGCTCCCAAACGTCTGAGGGTTTCGGAGTCGGAGCAGGGTTTAGTTGGTAATGAGACTCGGGCAGCTTCTGAGGCTGCCCCATTCGAGTTGGGGACGGAGGCATTCGAGGGGGTTTCTCCTACTGAGGTTTCTGGGTTCCACCAGCAGGCTCCCTTCTTTTCAGCCTTTCCCCTGGACTTTACCTTTTCTTCAGGGATAGAGGGTATGGAGGACTGCACTGCCTTGGGTCCCGACTTGGGGGATCCCGAGGCTTGGGAGGAATGGATCTGGGGTCCTTGGGCCCCCTTTGACCCCACTTGGCTGTTGGTGCCCTCTTTGTGGGGCTTGTTGTTGCAGGCAGAGGGGGTTTTCTTATCCCCCCTCTCGAATCTTCCCTAAGGAGGTTCCCAGATTCCACCTCTGTGATGGATCCGTCCTTATTTGAGTTTGGTTCTTCTTCCCCGTATTGGGTGCATTTGGAGGCTCTGGAGTCTTCCTGGCTGGTAAACTTCCCATTCTTTTCATTGGGGGGCATGGGTTCTGTTGGACCCGCATGCTTGAGTGGTGAGAAACTTCTACCATTCTGCAGGTTTACCTGGGGGAGCGAGTTTGAGTGCCTTAATACGTGCTTGTTCACTCCTGTGTTTTTTTGGGATGTTGGCCTTGTGCAGCTGCATGTGCAGGTTCCTACCCTTTCAGCATCCTTGGTTACTGAAAATTTGCACGCCCGTGGGCATTTGGCTTCGGTCTTACACTTCATTGCCCTTCATGAGCTGTCTTCGGCCTGGCTTGAGGATGTGAAGGCACAGGATGCCGGGCCTTCATCTGGTGTGTTGGCATCGGCAGCTCGGGCGTTGGCCGCGATGTTGAAGCTGTTTTGCGTCTATCTTGAAAGAAGCAGTGTCTCTGTTCTTTGCTTCTCACCTCACGTGCCCATCAGGCTGTGCTCACTCTCACTTTGGAATCCGCTTGGCCCCTGGCTTAGGTTTTTGTCGTCGTTTTGCGGTTTGCAGAATCTGCTGTCACGCAGTTTCTGCAGGCAGCTTCGTCTAATTGTCATCTTATGTCAGACATGTTAGTTCTCCGGGATGGCCTTTCTCGGCCATCTCAGAAAGGTCGTGCCAGTTCTTGGGATTCCGCTTGTCGAGGTGGGCCATTAGTGCCAGTTTCTGACCTCGTCCCTCAGAAGGGTGTCTCGCCTGTTCCCAGTGCCGAAACTGACTGTGTGGATCTGTGGTTCATTCTGGTCTTGTACTGTCTGAACCCCTGGATTCCTTGCCCCTCCTTTCAGATGACCACTATGTCTCAGGTCTGGCTTCTTTTGGAGCCGGGTGCCTGGATGGTGTCCCTGGACCTCAAGGATACGTATTGGCACGTCCCTATTCATCCAGGGTTCAGGGACTGGCTGGGTTTTGTGGTGGAACATCATGCTTACTGCTTTCATTGCCTTCCTTTTGGCTTGAATCTGGCACCTCACGTATTCACACAGCTTACCTGGGTTGTGATGACCCATCTGCATCTGCTAGGGGTTCGGGTCATGACCTACCTCAATGACTGGCTGGTGTGGGCTCCCAGTCGATCTGCTTGTCTGCTCGCCAGGGGTGTGGTGCTGTCCCAGTTTGCTGGGTTCGGGTTCCTGGTGAACTGGAGGAAGTCCCATTTAGTTTTGTCCCATGTTCAGACCTGGCTGGGTCTTGTTTGGGACACTCGGATCGCTTCCATGTGTCTCTCCCTCTCCCAGGACTGTCATATGATGCCTAATACTGTTGCCTCGTATTGTGCGGCGCTGGTAGAGCCACCCCAGCTTGTGTTGGGGGTGGATGCTACTTCTGCCCAGTTCAGTTAGCTTTCTCATGCTTTGTTTTTCTGCCTGTTCATGCACTGCCTGAGCCGTCCTGGTCCTTGGACAGGGTGCTCTCCTATCTTTCCTCTCCTCAGTTTGTGGTGGTCCATTCAGTTCAAGATTGTTTTTCCAAGGCTCAGTTTATGCTGGTATTGGTCTCTGGGGGTCAGGTCGGTGAGCTTCATGCTCTCCTCTGGCAGAAGGGTTTCTGCTTTTTCGATCCTGGTGGTCGATTTGTTTGGTTGCAGCCGCCTCCTTTTCTGACGAAAAATGAGATGGCTGCTTTCCGGAGAGGTCCTTGGGTACTTGATGCTTGGTTGGTCAGCCCGAGGGTGCATCATGTGTTGTGTCCGGTTGCGGCACTTCGCCATTATCTGCGTGCTTTGGCTTCGGTGACTGGGGATGCCCTTTGGGTTGATTAAATTTCCCCTCGTTCTGTGTTCCAGGGCTCGGGTCTTCCAGGTCATCCGCAGGGTTATTAAATCTAGCCAGTCTGCAATCTATCCTCGTGTCCATGATGTTTGGAAGTTTACTACATTAGCTGATGTGTTTAACAACATGTCTTGGGCTGATATTCAGGCATGGGGATTTTGGAGGTCGAATAGGGTCCTGGCCGCCAGTTATTTAGACAACATTCCTGGTCTTGGGCATACGTGTGTGTTGCGGGTCGCGGGTTGCAGCCAGTTGTCTCTCCTTCGAATTGAGGAGCATGTGGCAGTCGCCTCCCAGGTAAGTCCCTCTATTCCTTATCTTGGTTAAGTAGCTACAGGGGGGACCCCAAAGGGGTTCCCCCACAGAAAACCAGCGTTGAATGTAACGAAACACCATTTTCTGGGCGAGCCCCGAAGGCTCCCGGGCACCCTTCCTCCCTCCGGTCGGTCGGTTGTTTTTGTGTTGTTTTGATGCTTAGCCTCCAAACTGAAGTTGCTGGATGGCTGACACGGGGGGTCTGGGGTTACCCCCTCCCCCTTCCAAGGAGTAGAGGGCTTTGCGGACTAGCGGTGCAGCAGTGGGATGTGACGTTTGCTTGTTTGCGTGTTATTTTGGGAATTGAGGGAGTTCTGCCTCTCTGTTCGGTTTTTGGTTGCAATTTTCTTACCAAGTGGAATCTGTTTTGTTATGTCTATCTTTCTGGGTGCCTAACCCCGGTTGATGGCAGATAAGGGAAAAACCCCAACCACAAGGGTGTTTTCCAGGGGCCATTGCTCCCTGTGCCTCTCTAAGGGGACCAGGTTCTGGCTTGTAGTCCCTGGTAGGCTGAACTCCATTGACTAATGCCCTGATCTAATGTATCGCATATTAGCCCAATAGCTCCAGGGAGCCTCCGGGACTCGCCCAGTAAATGGCATTTCATTACATTCAATGCTGGTTTTTTATGAATTATGCAATTAAAAAATCTTATAACATGTTAATTCATATTAAAGTGTTTATTAATCAGCTGTTGGTTTTTGCAGGAGGAAGCTCCTCGCCAATGGGGTACATGCCCCCAAGTGAGAGCATGAAGCCAGTTGCCGTTAATGATGCAGATGCAGAGGAAGACATCTGAAGTCAAATTATTTGATGACAAAATATGTGTATTAAAATTGTCTAAAAGTGTGCTTTTTAGTAAGATATACAAGTGCCTACAGTGAAGCTGGGGTTTTCCTTGAGCTTCCAAAGTGAACCTAAACCACATTGCTTAATCACATGATGCTGCACCCATCCATGCTTTTGGTATGAAAGGTACAGTAATGTAATTACTCAACCTTTCTCAATTACTAATTACTCAGTCTTTTTTGTAATTTTATTTATTTTTTTATAAATAATTTTGTGACTGATCTATTAATTGCTATGTAGAAAAATATTTTTATCTCATTAAATGCTTTGTACACATTCCAACCTTTGTAAAATGTCCCAAAAACTTGGTGCTGGTTAATATGGCTTGGTGTATCTAAATACAGTCAAGTTTAGATGTACAGTGCAACCTGGATTTGGCCAATTTCCAGTTAAAATGCACACTTTTCAGGCCAGATTTGCTTGCCTGATTAATCAAACACTTGTTCGGCAAAGCGGGTGATGTGTGAATTTGCTTAGGATGTTGAGCCAGAGTTCAGACTTGTGGTTAGGGCCTGGTTCATTTACACTATTTTTGGGTAATGAGAAACACCTGTACCGTAATGAGCCTGAAATTTCTTTACAGTGGGGTTTTGGTAGTCGTCCATCATATGATACATTGAAATTCAAATTTGGCTCTGTGAAATTAATCCATAAAGTATGGTAAACACAATACGAATGGGAACATTTAATATTGCTCCAATCATGTTGTTAATGATTTCCATAGATGCAACATTAAGAGAGAGGTATAGCCTTGGAAAAGCCATTGAGCACATTTAAAACCAAATTATGTGGTTCATTTTTATTGAGTTGTGCTGGTTTTGTTCACTTGGGTAAGGGCCTTGTTACTCTTGTAACTGAGGTTTTCAGGATGAGGTGTTAGATTTCACCACATAATCTAGATGGGGTAAAATCTTTTCACTGTTAGGTTCTCTTGGTAGTTGTCCATCATAGGATAGGTTGAATTCCAATTTCACTGGGTGAAAATGGTCCATAGTGTGTATGTGAAACAATTCCCATTATTGGGAGATAAGAAGCCTGTACATAGACATATAGTGAGGCTCCCCTAACCCAGCATTTCTTAACCTGGGCTGCAACCCATAACAGTTACCTAACTCCTGGTTACCTATATACTGCTAAGTGAACAAAGGCTTCAAGTGAAAGGAAATATGCCCAATCACTTCTCCTGTCCGGGTGTCAAACCTGGTAACACTTGAAATAGGGCTCCAGTCACACTTTTAATTATTATTTTAGATGGACATAACACTAGAAGAAAGAGTTGGGGCCTTGGTAAAGTTATTGAGCATGTTTAGAACCAAATCCTTTGGTTGATTTTCATTTCCAGTTGGTGCAGTTTTTGTTCACCTAGGTAAAGGCCCTGCTACCTTTAAAAATGAAGTTTCAAGGGTTGGGAAAGAAGCTACATGTGGTGATACCTCTTGACAGACAGGGTCTTCTGGTAGTTGTCAATCATATGATTAGTTAAAATTTAAATTTCACTCTGTAAAATTAACCATTATAACATGGAAAATATCAGTGTATGAATGGTAACTTTATAATTAATTAATATGGCTACAATCTCATTTAAAAAAAATTTTACTGATGAATCATTAGAAGAACAAGGCATAGCTCTGCATTTTTTCTTGTATATAAAAAATCCATCATACAAATGCATTCTGAGGGCATTTCCAGTTGCAACAAATTGGGGCTGGTCCCATGTACAGTGGTATCTCAGTTTTCTGGGGGGGGGGGAGCCCTGTCGGCTCCCCGGAGCTATACCAGGCTGATATGCTAATGTCAGACTTTGGCATCAGTCATGTGTGTGGAGTTCTAGGGCCTACCGGGGACCACGGCCAGATCCTGGCCCCCTCATAGAGGCAAGGGGGGCAATGGCCTATAGAAACCCCCATGTGGTTGGAAGCATTCTATGTTTGCCATCGACCGGGTCAAGCATCCAGAAAGGTAAGCATTCCAAAACAAACCCCTATTCCGGTTAAAATTGCTACCAAAAGCCGAACTAGTGGATAGAACTCCCCAACAGAAAACAAGCAAACTAGTATGACATCACACGTCACCGCACTGCTGTTTGTGCATCTCCCCCCCTCCCCGGAAGGGGGAATGGGGAACCCCAGACCTCTCACGCCGGCTATCCACCTATCAGTTCTTCGGCTGATGCTAGAGGCACCGATCATGTGCTCCGGCTCCGTTGGTTGTTTCAGCACTGTACCTAGAGTGTGGTGACTGTCTTCTAGGTGATGTGTGAGCCGGGAGTGTTTCTCCAGTACTCAGGCTGCATGTGCCTAGGGTTTCCTTCCCTACGTGCCCTGTAAGTACTGCCCTAGGGGCTTGGGGCCGCCTTCCACAAGTTTCTTGGGTTCTGCCCCTGCTAGGCCATTTACTGCTTGGTTTTTGGCTGCCCCTTGTGTGCTCGGGTATTCTGTTTCCCTTGTTCGCCTTCAGGTAGGGGGCAGTTTTGCACTGGTGGGGTGCAGGGTGCTGCGCAGCTTGTTTTCACCAATCATGGCGGCCGACTCTGTTCCGCCTGGGTATGCTGTCCTCTTGCGGTGGTTTTCTTTTTCTTTTAGTTTAACTGCCTGGTGAGGGGTCTACCTTCGTTCTTGCCTCCTGTGTCCCTTGTGTTTTGAGTACTCTGTTTTTCGGTGGTTCCCCCTACTTGGTCCCCGTGAGTGTACACATCCCAGGGGTTCAGTTCTTAGAAGGTTGTTTGGTAGCTTTGGGCGCCGGTTAGCAGTAGGATCAATGCCTGGGATTACCTGAGTGTGAGTAATATTATAGTAAATGCTCGGGACCCTGGGAAACCCCTGGGGGGGCGCGTGGGTCCGATGGATGTAACCCCGGAGTGTCCCCCCTTGCTTCCAGCGAGTTTGAGGGTTGCTCTCACCCCTTGTCTCAGGGTGACTGTACTCACCTAGTTGTACTCACCTAGTTGTGTTTGCGGGGGTTGAGCTCTGGCTCTTTGGTCCTGCCTCTCAACCGTCAATCAACAGGTGTACAGATTCCTGAGCCTATCGGGCTCTGTCATATCTACACTTGAAACTGTGTATGGAGTCAGCCTCCACCACATCACCCCCTAATGCATTCCATTTGTCAACCACTCTGACACTAAAAAAGTTCTTTCTAATATCTCTGTGGCTCATTTGGGCACTCAGTTTCCACCTGTGTCCCCTTGTGCGTGTTCCCCTTGTGTTAAATAGACTGTCTTTATCTACCCTATCAATCCCCTTCAGAATCTTGAATGTGGTGATCATGTCCCCCCTAACTCTTCTGTCTTCCAGCGAAGTGAGGTTTAATTCCCGTAGTCTCTCCTCGTAGCTCATACCTCTCAGCTCGGGTACTAGTCTGGTGGCAAACCTTTGAACCTTTTCCAGTTTAGTCTTATCCTTGACTAGATATGGACTCCATGCTGGGGCTGCATACTCCAGGATTGGCCTGACATATGTGGTATACAAAGTTCTGAATGATTCTTTACACAAGTTTCTGAATGCCGTTCGTATGTTGGCCAGCCTGGCATATGCCGCTGATGTTATCCGCTTGATATGTGCTGCAGGAGACAGGTCTGGCGTGATATCAACCCCCAAGTCTTTTTCCTTCTCTGACTCCTGAAGAATTTCCTCTCCCAGATGATACCTTGTATCTGGCCTCTTGCTCCCTACACCTATCTTCATTACATTACATTTGGTTGGGTTAAACTCTAACAACCATTTGTTCGACCATTCCTTCAGCTTGTCTAGGTCTTCTTGAAGCCTCAAACAGTCCTCTTCTGTTTTAATCCTTCTCATAATTTTAGCATCGTCCGCAAACATTGAGAGAAATGAATCGATACCCTCCGGGAGATCATTTACATATATCAGAAACAAGATAGGACCGAGTACAGAGCCCTGTGGGACTCCACTGGTGACTTCACGCCAATCGGAGGTCTCACCCCTCACCGTAACTCTCTGCTTCCTATTGCTTAGATACTCCCTTATCCACTGGAGCACCTTACCAGCTACACCTGCCTGTCTCTCCAGCTTATGTACCAGCCTCTTATGCGGTACTGTGTCAAAGGCTTTCCGACAATCCAAGAAAATGCAGTCCGCCCAGCCCTCTCTTTCTTGCTTAATCTGTGTCACCTGATCGTAGAATTCTATCAAGCCTGTAAGGCAAGATTTACCCTCCCTGAATCCATGTTGGCGATTTGTCACGAAGTCCCTTCTCTCCAGATGTGTTACCAGGTTTTTTCTCACGATCTTCTCCATCACCTTGCATGGTATACAAGTCAAGGACACTGGCCTGTAGTTCAGTGCCTCTTGTCTGTCGCCCTTTTTGTATATTGGGACCACATTCGCCGTCTTCCATATTTCTGGTAGGTCTCCCGTCTCTAGTGATTTACTATACACTATGGAGAGTGGCAAGCAAAGTGCCTCTGCACACTCATTCAGTACCCATGGTGAGATCCCATCTGGACCAACCGCCTTTCTAACATCCAGATCCAGCAGGTGTCTCTTGACCTCCTCTCTCGTAATTTCGAACTCCTCCAAGGCCGCCTGGTTTACCTCCCTTTCTCCTAGCACAATGACCTCACCCTGTTCTATTGTGAAGACCTCCTGGAACCTCTTGTTGAGTTCCTCACACACCTCTCTGTCATTCTCTGTATACCTGTCCTCGCCTGTTCTAAGTTTCAATACCTGTTCTTTCACTGTTGTTTTCCTTCTGATGTGACTGTGGAGTAGCTTTGGTTCGGTCTTGGCTTTGTTTGCTATATCATTTTCAAAAATTTTCTCTGCTTCTCTTCTCACCCTGACGTACTCATTCCTGGTTCTCTGGTATCTCTCCCTGCTTTCTGGTGTTCTGTTATTCCGGAAGTTCCTCCACGCCTTCTTGTTCAGTTTCTTCGCTTCCATACATGCCCTATTATACCATGGATTCTTTTGTTGCTTCTCGGATTTTTCCCTTTGGGCCGGGATGAACCTGTTTACTGCCTCCTGACACTTTTGGGTAACATAGTCCATCATACCCTGTACAGACTTGTCTCTGAGGTCTGTGTCCCAAGGTATTTCACTTAGGAAACTTCTCATCTGTTCATAATTCCCCTTTCGGTATGCCAGCCTTTTGATTCCTAGTTCTTTTTGGGGGGAGATAAGTCCTAGCTCTACCAGGTACTCAAAGTTCAATACACTGTGGTCACTCATTCCCAAGGGCGCTTCCATCTTAACTTCCCTTATATCCCATTCATTTAGGGTAAATATCAAATCAAGCATTGCTGGTTCATCTTCTCC